AGGCAAGGCAGTGCACTACACCTTTTCTATTTCAGGGCTTGCTTGTTCCGTGCTATCTTGTAGCTGTGCATCATGTTTCCTTGTGGTTGTAGGAAGAAACACGGACTACTGTGAAGATGCATATCCTTTGTCCCTATATATGCATCTTCAGTATAATAAAAGCTTCTCAAAAAAGATTTGATCTCTTAGTCTGAGGAAGAAACTAGTATCCAATACTAATTCTACTCCTTCAGCAGTTCTCCCCGGTGCTATTGGCAAGTTTGCCAGCTTTTGACTCAACTTCTACTGTAAAACTAAAATGCTGCAGTGGGCTTTGAGGATTAAGTGAAACATGAAAATTAATCAGATGAATACTATTTTGTTTGAATGCAAATCAAGTGTCCATCAGTACTTCGCATTTGATAATTGCTGTAGCACTAAAAATGACTGTTAAAATGTTGTGTGTCCTTTTCTTAAGGTTCATCTGCAATTGCAAGAAGTAGCTTTGAAAACGTGACAGCTTTATAGAGAGAAATCTGAACAGACATCACATTGAATTAAATCCATACTGTGGCACTACTTTGTGCCTTTTGGTGAGCATGCACATTCAAAAATATGTCACTTCATGCAGAAAAGAGGCATTTATTAAAAGAGCCGTTGGAAAGACCATCCTTCCAAGTAGCTGGACGCTGCTAGTACCACCAGATGTTGATTTATTGGAAGACTCAAGGGGTCTTATTTTGGCATCTTAATCCTGTTTAACTGTATGCTTCTATTCCCTCTGCGTGCTTGCAATCAGGTAGCAGCATACACTAATTCATGAATTCTGATGTAAAGAAACTAAATGGTTCAGGTTTTCTAAAAAAAAAAAAAAAAAAAATTAAAAAAAGTATAGTCCTATCATCTAAATATGAATTCCACCCAGAGAGCAAATTTCATGACACTGTGACAAATTGCCGAAAATTATCAAACTGCTGATGCAATTTGTTGGCTAGTAATACTATAAGGCATTAACTTCTAAAACTAAACTGCAATATGTCTCTCTTTTTCAAATATTCCAAAATTACCATTAAGAAATGCCATTCTGTTTATTTTCAGAAGAAAAAGACACATTATGGCTGTTCGTAAAATAGATAAGTGAATGCAAGTTGAGAAACATATACATAAATATATAATATAGACACACACGTGTGTGTGTATACAGGCTTGGGCTAACTTTCACAGGTGTGTGGGTTTTTTCTACGTGGAAATGTAGTTATAGAAGGCTCTGTAGGTTTCAGTCACTCATCTGAGAAACTAGGATGTCAGCCTCAGTAGAGGAGGTAGCTGCAATCTGAGCTTTTACATACTTGAAGATCCTGGGCATGTTCTATCTATATAGATCAGCTTATGCTGGACATCTGATGTGCACGTGTGGAAAACATGACAGAATTGGAATGAATTGGATGTAATGTACAGGCTTTTGGTACATGTGCAAATCCAAGTGTGCAAGCTTTACCCAGTAAAGCCAGTATTCCCAGATCAGTTGGATACTGTGCGCACACAAGCCTATCAGTGCAACACAAACACAGTCAGGCCAGCAGTCTCAGACTGAGCATCCAACTCATTGCACATGGAACATGTTCAACCTGTTTGAGAAATGCTGGACACTCTTCTATACCCATACACCTCTGGAATTTTTTCTCTGCTCACATCTTTCACACTCAAGTCACCTGGATAAAGCAAGGCTTAAGCTTCCACCTTTCTTTCTTTCTTTACAGAAAGAAGACTGTTCCACAGTACCTGGGTCCTGGGTAAGAACTCTAGTCAAGACAGAGTTCCCTCATATCCCTTTTAAACCCCGTAGGTTTCTGCTGTGGAATTGTCCTTTGGATTAAAAATGAACCTTCTTTTCATTATGTGTGGGGGGGTTTTTTGTTTGTTTTTTATCTGGGTCTTCTGGTTCTCATCAATAGCTTTTGACCATCTTTTACATGTATGAAAAATTAAGTCTTTCCTTATTCTTCTAAGAAAACTGTCTAATTTTCATTTCTAATTGGACTTAGATATATTTTAGATTTCCTTCCTTGTTGAGGATAGTGGGAATATACTGTGGCTTATGTTTGTTTGATACAGCCCTTTCTGATCTAGAGGAAGATTTTACACTTCTTGCTAGGAGAAAGGCAGAAATCTAATTAAACTAGTCTGAGGCCATCTTAAAATTCAAAATGAAAAATATCTCTATCTAAAATAATTACTGAGGCATATAAACACCGGGTCTTTGTTTTGGTGGTTTTTTTAAACCAAATAAATTTAAAGTATATGATCTCATCTGGATAAATTTCTCTGCATTCATAGCAGTCTTGTTTGTTCATAGTATGCTGTTTCTGTGAAAACCTGAATATATTGGTGACTGTTAGGTAACAACACAATAGCAAATCACCAGGTGGTTTGAAATGCCATGTCTCAAGGACAGCAGAAAAATTGCTTCTTAGGGCACAGGTTAAAAAACAAATCCCTTTAATTCATCAGTATATTTTTGTTTCTTGTCTGAATTACTTAATTGTCTCACTTGATTGCCTATTTTTTTTAAACTTTAAAAAATACTTCTCTTGAAAAAAAAATTCATGGTCTGCAGTGTAAATGTTCTTGTAAAATAGTGAATTCTAGGTTGTTTCTGTATTTCAGGTAGAATTTCAGGATTCAAGGATTACCTCTTTTTCTTGCAAAAAGCAGAATCCAATCTCCTGAGTAATGAGTTTTTAAAACAGTGAACTGTTCTGAGATCAGCCATCATTAAGGCAAATCTCTTCAGAATGACTTAATATTGTGTCTAATCCTGTTGGCTTCAGTTTGTTTGTGGCAGGAATGAATTTTCCAATTCAGATAGAATTGGGAAGCTGTATTTGTCATAATACCCTTAGTGGAGTGTTCTTACAGCGTAAAATGGGAGCTTAGGAGAGTTACAGTCTGGGGAAAACTGGATTTGTTCTCAAATAACTGAAAACTGGTGTGTGGCCTTAATAATCCTAGGAATACATTTCCTTTGATAATGTTGCCTTTTGAAGAATTGACAGGCTGCCTTATATTTGCAGGTGACTGGTGGGAGGGGGATAAGAGCAGATGAAACAAAGGCATAACAGAATATTCTCTTTCTCCTTTATAATGTTCTCTAACAAAACTGTTGCTGCTACAAGGGGATTGAAGCACCATGAGTAGTCTGTAATGGAAATGTGGTTTTCAGCCTTTTTTCCTTGTTATAATAGTTTGTTAATATGTCTGCTGCATTCATTCCTTCACTATTCATTGAAATTCTTTTTTAATATTCCTTTCACTGTTTTACATTTCTCTTCAAAGTTTAGGGAGGGAGACCTAGTTGTAATCCATAACTTTTTGTTCAAACTGCCATTCCAGAAAGTTCAAACAGCGTAGGGGATTGTGAGTTTCATAAAGGTGCTTCAAAATAAGACAATATTTGGTTTATATGCAGTAGTTACTGCTTTACTTCTGGGATTGCTTTAGGACAGCTGGGAAACTCTAAGATAAACACACAATTGAAATTTTATGTTTGAAAACCAATTCTGTGCAGAAACATTTTTTTAAGTATTAATGAACATATATTTTATTAATAGTCCCCAGCTGGAAGTTACAACTTCATTTTCCAGAAAGAAAAATGGCTTTTAAATGTTTCATGTGTCAAAGGATGAGATGAAAAACATCATCTTCCTGAAACAAATCAAGGCAATTAGTATATCAGGTATTGTATGTTTATTTGTAGGACTTCTTTACAAGACCTATAAAATCTGAGTATTTGAAAGATTTCCTACAAAGTGAGCCTACAGTCTTATCCATGAAGCTTATGCTTTTATAAAAGGGAACAAAAAGGCAGTAAATAACTGTTTTGCTGTAACCACTTGGGAAACTTGTTGTATGACAAACTTAATTCAACTAAATGCTTGAAGTGGCGACCAATATTCCAAACTTAAAGAAAAATAAAGTACTCAGAAGTAAATGCATGCAGCTAGAAAATAATAAGTTCTTTATTAAAAGATTTTGTGTTGTAAAGTCATGACTGTTCTATCTCCTGTTCAACTGTCCTCAATAAGCACAAATGACTATTTTTGGACTAGGTTGCTGCTTTTGGTACCTCTCAATAAAGGCACCTACCCATAAAATCTGGTACAGTTTGTTACTGGTATTTATTTTAAAATGTAGGCATTACTGTGCCATTTAAGGTTAATGGTCCCTCTACTCAATCTACAGCAGGCAGGATCAGATGCTTCAGAGAAAGATATAAAAAATGTGGAAACTGTCAAATACAGAATAACCATTCCAGACGGGAAGCTTTTCTGGTATTACTCACTCTCCTCTGCCAAGTGACAGACTGTGTTTCAAACTTTGGTGGGAGGCAAGTTCTCCCTTAGTTTTGTCTTACTTCTTTTCCTTCCCAAGCATGCTGGCTGGAGCAAAGGGTAGTTACTCTGTTCTGAGATTAGCTGTTTTTGAAAAGTGGGCATTTGTTATGTTCTGCATTCCTAATCTGTATTGTATCATTAAGGTGTATATTGGGACCCAGTGGTCAGTAGTATGTTGAGCCTGTTGTGTACAGTGCATCCCTTTGAAGAAACACTTAACATATTTTCAGTTAACAGAATTAAAGTAATGCTGTGCCCTTTCCACAGCCATGTCCGCATACCCATGCGTGCACGAACACTTGCAGTACTTGTGCTCAGTGATCGGTTGTTTTCTTGGTCATGGTGTGTGGGGGAAGGGCTGATTTTTGTTTTGCTAAATACAATGGCAGTCTAAAACATGCTCGTACAGATGATGGTAGTTTCATACTGAACCAAGTCATTTTCCTAAGCTTTCTTCTTCCACTGTAGGACGCAGCTAGCCAAAATGATACCTCTGTTTTTTAAAGGTTTGTCACAACTGGCTTATTTCTGAACCCCTGAAATACCAAGATTCTTGATCTACATTTAATTTTTTATATAGTGATGAATGTTATCTGGTTTGTGCTTATTATTTATTTTCTTTCAAAGGATGATTTTGAGGTGAAATCTGAGGAGCATGCCAGTGTCATCCAGCAACTTGAGCAAACTATTGAGGATCTGAGGACCAAAATTGCAGAACTAGAGAAACAGTTCCCTGCTCCAGAGGTACAGACTGCTGGGAGGGAGCAGGAAAATGAGCACACACCTGCAGTCTGCAGGGAATTCAGCAGTGTGACTCATCAAACAAACGAAGAGGAGAACGTACCCAGGACTGTGTCACATGCAAGATCTGTACAAACGTCACCAACAGAGGATTATTTACCACACACAATGCCTTCAGCCAATGCACTGCCACAGACACCCCCACCACCACACTTACAAGGGGACAAAAGTGAAGGGCCAACTCAGAAATTGCCAGGTCTAGAACTACAGCCCACGTTTTGTTCTGAAATCTCCTTAATTCTGTCGCCGAAGCTAATCTCAGTGCCACTGGATGCAAGCCAATCTGTACAAAGTACGCTCCAGTCACCCCTTTCAGAACCTAAAATTAATTTGTCCCTTGCATTTGAAGGAGAGCCTGAAATGCCAGCTTCCCATCAGCCTCTAAGTACTGTAGATGTGACTTGTAGTGAACATCCCCCTTCTTTGCCCCCAGAGCCCACATGTAGCATTCCCCCATCACTGCCAGTCACCGAACCAGCCGCTCCCCTGTCTGGAGCACATGGCCCTTCCCTTGCCACTCCTATGTCCATGGCAGGTGTACCACCCCCACCACCCCTGCCCAGCTCAGGACTCCTTCCTTCTGCTGGCTCAGCAGTGCCACACCTAGACCACTCTTTGCCGGGCATCATGATGCCACCACCACCACCCCCTCCTCCTCCTCCTCCTCCTCCTCCTCGACATACTGATGCTGCCCCCAGCCCCTCCTCTCCCATGTGCTGGAGTCCCACCACCACCTCTACCACCACCTTTGCCCGGAGCAGGAATCACAGGCCCTCTGCCGGGTTGGGGCATGCCGCCTCCACCTCCACCACTGCCACCACCTTTACCTGGGGCTGGTGTCCCTCCCCCACCTCCTCCTCTGCCTGGCCTGGGAATGCCACCCCCACCCCCAGCACCACCTCTGCCTGGGGCAGGACTACCACCACCTACCCCACCTTTGCCTGGAGGGGGCATCCCTCCTCCTCCTCCTCCACCACCACCTCTGCCTGGTGCAGGTGTCCCCCCTCCTCCTCCTCCTCCACCACCACCACCACCTCTGGCAGGTGCACCCCCTCCTCCTCCTCCTCCTCCGCCACCAC